ATAACACAGACATGGTACCTGAAACAACTAGGAAACAGAATTTACTACATGCTCCGTAGGTGATACAAATTACAACAGGTCAGCCTTTATGTGTTGCTTATCATGGGTTCTTGTATTTCACTTTCCCATTGTTTGAACAACTTCAGACTTAAAATGTACTATTTAGTCAGTCTAACCTTTAGCTTGCTCAGCTCAACTGCCTCAAATTGTCAGAGGTCTGCAAAACATCTAAAGCACAGTCAGCCTGGCCATGGCAGTGGTGGCTGCTTCATTCTGAGAAGAAATCACATCTCTTCAGTGTGACTCCTCCAATATTGGAAGCCTCTCTTAGTCCACAAAAACATTATAGGAAAGCCCTCTATACAATCAAATCACTGGAGAGCTGCCTCATTTATCCACCACCTCTGGGAAAAAAGAGCAAGCTTCCCACTTCCCTGAAGTATGGAGCAGTGCCCATCATTGGCTTAGTCCTGCTTGCATCAGCTGAGACCCAAGAACTTGTGCCAGTAAAAAAAAAAGCAGTTGAAGTCTTAGGTGCTGGCTGGCTAACTGACCAATACTGGTTGTTGTGATTTGTTTGCTGGTATTTTATAAAAGAAAGGCTCATTTCTTCCATTCAATTTATGCATTTGTCCTAGTGCATATTTGTCATTCCAAACGCTTTCCTAAGCTCTCCAAGCTGTATTTTATAAAGTTACACTGCCATATAATTAACTTTTAGAAAAAAGTTCATTCACACCTACCTTTTATTTTCTGGAGGAATAAGTTTTTTCCATTGTTTTACCAGAGCTTTAGCTACATTCCCAGCAGTGGCATGTTTCCTAAAACTGTTAACTGTTTTGCCTATGCCAGTTTCCTGTAGAAGATAACACAAGAAAGATGGGCAGAATAAATCACAGCTAACATCCAAAATAAAACCTTCTCTAAAACACTACGAACAGTATTAGCCTAGTAGTCAGAGCTTTCTTATGGCAGCTAAAGAAATAAATGCACTCTTTATACCACAAACAGAACTGAAGGAAAAGTAGTTATTTATAACCGAATATGGGGAACAAATGCAGTCTTAATTCATAAAATTAAGAGAAGTCATCTTCCTCCATTCAATGTATGTACTTCAGGAACTTCACTTGGTTCGAATGCTGATGCCCACAAAATGCATACTGCTCCAGTGAATTAGATTAATCAATTCAAATTCCCTTTAGGTTCATGCAGGTACATTTTAGCATGTTAAAGAGCACGTATGATGGACATATTGTAACCTAAAATGCATCTCAGCCAGGACTAATATGGGGTAAAGGGGTCAGAGGAGCAGAGTTCATAAGACTAAACTCAGCCTCAGTCACAGGGAAGAAAAAAAAAAACCCACAGAACTTGACATTTAAAACCTGTCATTTTCTGTTTTCCCCCAGTAAATTATTTTCACATTACCATTGTGCCTTCAAGTCTTGTTCAAGTGAGTTTTATGTTATTAATGCACAACTATCTTGCAGACTTTGAGTGCATATAGAATCACAGGTGGGTTTTTTTAAACCCTATATTATCAGTAATTATCTCTGATTCACAAACTCTCACTTTTAAGATGCATATAGAACCTGGAATTCACTGGGTTAGCTGCATCCTGTTAATGCTCTTGCTAACTAGCGAAATGATACCCCTGTGAAGTCTGAGCAAGAGCTATACGCATGCTACTCCCACATAATCAGCTCACGCCTTAGAAAGAACTTCATTAAATTCACTTTAAGGATATTTAGCTTCTATATAACTTGAGCAATACTGGTTTGGTATGTCAGCATATTGCAAATAGATGCAAGAAATTTGGTGGGATTATTTCCTAAAGCTATTTATGTTCTTCAAATGCCTTAAAAATACATGGAGTCCTCAGCTGTAAGACATTTCTTTCCTCTATTTGATTTGAAGACTTCCATCAAAGTCTGCCACATTATAAAACATCGAAGTTTGTTGGGAACATGAATTGTCTGCAGAAGCCCTTTGTCATTTTAAACAACTAATTGCAATATGAAATAACTTTGTTTTCCAATAAAAATACATAAATATTGCTGTATTCCAGTAAAAGTCTACCTGCGTTTATGCAGGCAAATGCCTTTGCCCAAATAGGCCAGTCAAATATCTCAATTACCATATTTTTCTCTTACTCTTCAAAGAACTCTCTCACAAAACCCGCATTTTTCTTCCCAAAATATAGACACATTGCTCATAATAATTAGAAGTTTCATAGACCAGCGTGAGAATTTCTAATGTAAAATTCAATAGGGTGTAGCTTGGATAAGGATACAAGTCACAAGTATCTTTACTTGGGATACTTGCTCTTTAAATGCAAGAAACTAACCTTGAACTGCTAATAAAAGACAGAAGATTTAGACAACTGACCTAAAGAATGGTTCACCCATATTTGTTTTGTCTCAGGCATCAACATGAAAGCAGTTTTACTGCAATGAGAAGAAACCATCCCTGAGTAGCAAAGTGTTCTCTATATGCTCAGATTCCTGCTCAGTACTATCACTGTTGTCATAATACTGCGCTTGTTAAGTTGTATGCCCAGCTTCCAGCTGGCTTTTGGAAAAGGCTCCATGCTTCTTTGTACAGAGCTCTAAACGAATCATGATTAAGAGTCAAAATTACAAAGTGCAACATGTTTGCTGCTTCTATGATTGCAGACCCCTGACATTCACACAGTAATTCACTACAGAAGAGTTTAATGTATTATTGGTCACTTACCACTAGAATATCCAGCGATATATCCAAATCCTGTAGTACCTTAAGTGTTTTTACAATCTGGAAGGAAACATTAATTTGTTTTTTAAAACAATTATTTGTAAATTCTATTCTGTTTTTCTGATCCTCATTCACATGTTTAATCCAAAAATACTCCGTAGTGATAAGAGGAATATCCAGTAACTCCAGGAAAATGTAAGCACTCCTTCACTGCATATCAGGGCTCTGCTTGAAGTCTGTGCTGTGAACCAGTACGGCTCTGCCAACCCTCCCCAAATTCAGTAACACCAGAAAATCTAGTAGGTAAGCATTTACCACTACAGAGATTACATTAAAGATCAGTAATACAGTAGTACAGGCTACATACATATATGCCCACACTCAGTGACCTTCATTTGTCACAGAGCCATTAGAAGAGCTGCATTATGCAGAATCACCATGCAAAAATCAGCCAGTCTCCCAGCAGGTCTCCCAGTCAGCAGCACCACCCCTTCACCAGCCAGGGCCAAGAAAGGACAATAGAGCTGGCAGAAGCCCAGTTTGCAAAAAATAAGGTTTTGAAAACTTGGTTGCAATTTGTACATCAAAAAAAATGAGCTCAATGTAGAACAGCTGGTTTGTTTCACACTGACAAAGCATACACCTGTTAAAAAACTCAACATTGCCATCAAAGCAGGAAAGAATTTTTCAAATAAAGAATGCTAATCTTTCTATGAGAAGTGTTTTAATAACACAAAAGTCTCATTTATAAGTAGAGTATAAATTGTTTTGGCAGTGGGTATACAGCACCCCAGAGCCTTGCAGTTGACCACACACAAGCAATTTGCCTTATCTTTCACAAACTTCCATGAAGCTATGTTGTGTAGATGACAGAATTAATGCGCAACTGAAGCAACAGCATTTCATAGGGCTTTCAAAGACTGGAATACTAGTCCAGTTTTTCAGCTCATTGCCACTTCTAAATGCAATAGCAAGAACCAGATGATCTTTAAGGTCCCTTCCAACCCAAACAACCCTATGATTCTTACCTGCAGGAA